GGTCAACCCAAATCCTGAAAAATTGGATACTATTGTTTCTCGTTTTTTATTTTCAACGCCCACTGAAAAATTTATTTTTGCCACCACTGATTAGGATAGATTTTATACAAAAAAGTCGCGTGTAAAATTATTTTGTTCTGCGACGCCCTAAAAAGTGCTTCAAGGGATCCCCCAGGTTGGGAACGACTGTCTTAGAGTATGTTTAAGAAAACTGCACTGAAAAGTGAGAGCAACGGAAAATATACACATGGTTGTGAAAATACGGGAAATTGCAAAATTTCCCGTAAAAACATTCAAACACATATTGTTTTTACGCGATTTTCTTACTCTTCCCGCCTTTTCTCATTTGCATATTGCATAAAAACACTTAAGACATATTTCCCCTTTTCACACGACTTCGTTTTTTCTTCCCAGCTTTTCCGCCATTCCCGTAATTTTACTGCATTTTATTTCAATTTCCTGTATACAGACACCCAAATATATATTTCCTGTTTTACCGGGCTTGTCCATGGGAATGTAATTCCCACGGGATGGGATAGGATGGGACAGCACACATTTTTATATCCCATGGAACACGTGGGACACGAAAACCGTATGATTTTCGGGAAAATGATGGTAATACATTTCGTTATGGATTTCGTGTCCATATATTTAAGCATAGCTCTCTTGTTAGTTACAAAGAGCAAAATATATTCAGCATTGACAATATACTTCGTGAAGGGGCTGATGTGACACATGTATAGTATTTATGAATTTAAAGTTAAAAAGTCTGCAAATTTTGTTAATTCCATTTAGTGGACGCAAAACCTAAAGTTAACATTTTTTATTGAATTTTTTTCTCATAGGAATCCCATGGGATGGAATGGGAAGGGCATAATTGCTATGGGATGGGATGGGACAGAAAAATGTGTCCCGTGGACAAGCCTGTGTTTTACCGCGATTTTGCTACTCTTCCCGCCTTTTCCGCAATTCCTCAATACATTCTAATTTTGTTTCAATCTTCTGTATAAAAATACCTAAATACATATATCCTGTTTTTCAGCGATTTTCTTACTCTTTCCACCTTTTCCGATTTCCACTCTTCTCACCATTTTTTAAATCATATTTCATTTTATTTCAATTTCCCGTATAAAACACCTAAATAAATATATTTCCTGCAAATTCCCGTTATTCCCGATTATTTAGGAAAGTTTCTGAAGTTTCCGTTCATAAGTTAAATTTTCCGTATATCCGCTTTTTTAGTAAAATATCCAGTAGTTCCCGCTGCTAAGCTAAATTTCCGATAGTTACAGTTTATTATAAAAATTTTCCATAGTTCTCGTATTTTAATTAAATTTCCCGCTTTTTATTGAAGTTTTTCGTCGTTCCCGCTTTTTAATGAAATTTCCCGTATTTATTAGTGAAATTCCCGTAGTTTACGTCATTCCCGCTTTTTCGTGCAATTTCCAGCACACATACTCTATAATGTATATTTCCCGTTTCACAGAGCGAGTTCCAGTCGTTCCCGCTTTTTAGTGCAATTTCTCGTACATACAGACTCAAGTACATATTTCTCGCTGCCCACGCTTTCAAGTGCAATTTGCCCCACACATACTTTAAAATGCATATTCCCCGTATTCTAAAGCGATTTACCGTCATTCCCGTTTTTTTGTGAAATTTCCAGTAGTTTACGCAATTTTTCCGTCGTTTCCGTCTTTTAGTGCATTTCCCGTTCCCCCCACTCTAGGCCCTGAAAACCGGGAATGACGGGAAATTTTACTAAAAAGTGGGAAAATGTTACAAAACGTGGGGATGACGGAAAATCGCTCTAAGATAGGGAAATATGTATTTTAGTGCAATTTCCCCCACATATACTCTAAAATGCCTATTTTCCGTAACTTAGAGCGATTTCCCATCATTCCCGCAATTTGTAACATTTCCCCGCTTATTAGTAAAGTTTCTCGTCATTTCTGTAAGGCCCTAAAATGCGGGAAACGATCGACACCACGTAAGCCATGTATCAGTATGCCTCACCAGTGGTATCCTATATTGGACCTTGGTCCTTTTCTACATTTGGAATTTGTATCTGGTCTGTGGCGGCTGGGGGGTACATTTCGATTCTGCTTTTTATCTTGTGCTTTTACCGACATATAACTTAGGTATACACTGCCGTCAAAGTGTGGAATACTGATTTTGTTGCTTTTTGGCGAAGGTAGTTGTAATGAAGTAACGCATTTAATGATGGAATAAACAAGTTTGAATTTCGGTAGTTTATGTCACAATACTCAGCGTAAAATAGACTGAGTTTCGTATACATGTAATCTGTGTACCATTCTAAATTTTTCCGTTCACAAAGGCATGTTATGTGTAATTTTAACTTTGCGATTTGTTGAAACGATGTGCTTCATACGAAACAGTAATAAATCCCGTTTTTTGAAACGCCGTTTCCTGGTTTACACAGTTTGTCTGTTTTCACCACTGCAAAGTAGATGTCGATTTCTTTCGTTTACTCCTTCCCTATCTTAAATATCGACTGTCAGTGGACTTCGTCTCCGCTGTATATTAGCCTTTTCTGGATATCTCTCGCCAAGAAAATGCTAAAATTGCATGATATTTTTATGCTAATGATTTCATTTATATATATGCTCGTACAGTGTAAGTGTGTATACCGTATACTCAAACATCTAGTGAAACAATTAGCAGTAACTATCCGGTTACATACAATGTATACAGATATATACGTTATCCGTATAATAAAAATTATAGATTTATATCCGAACTAACCCTAATCTTGACCTTCAAATGTAAATATTAGTGCAAAAATGTGCGCCATAATCAGGCACAATTATAAATATCACGCTAAGTTCAACAGTGTCACAGCGACGTGCCTTTAGGACATAAAAATAGTTTTATAAATTGACTTGTTAATTTAACCAAAACGAGAGCATCGGTCAACAATTTGACTCATATTTAATGCAGCTCTTTCTGATCTGACATATTGTCTTTAACTCAGAAGCATTTGGTGATTCATATTAGGTTCCTTGACTTTAATAATAGCATATAGAACGCGTCTTTGCATTCAGTTATGGTAAATCAATATTTCAGTCAATAAATAGTACACACGAAATAACTGAAATATTTGAGTTGTCAGACATATTCTTTTCATCTTGTGGTAATTCTGAATGAATTCGATTTACAAATGAAAATACTTCATAATACTCGCGTCATATTGATCCACGCGCTATTGTTCTAAACAAATCAATTCCTAGCTGATTTGCAGTACTATAAGTTTCTGCCTCGATTTTTTTTAATCTGCAATAATTTATTTTTTGTATGAGTAGTTTAGGATCAAATGAATGCCCTAGCCTAGCCCATGGCTGGACAATTATATTTGATATGGGGCCACATTGCAAATTCAAAATGCAATGACGGGCCTGACTAGGTAAAGTCAATCTACCATGCTCGTTTTCATTGTTTCTTTTTACACATTTACCGCGCGCGAACTTGGATACCTCGAGCCGAAGATATGTGTTTGGGAAGTGAATCTCAGACTTATTAACATCAAGAAACAAATAACAGAAATAGCAGATTTTTGACTGATGGACTGGAAATGTACCGATACAACTTGGGTGGAAGATTTTTAAAAGAATTAGCCTACTGAACAAAAAGCATGAAGATTCCCCCAAACGAAATTATGCTTGGACTGCTCCATTGAAAAATGTGACTGGATAACAAAAGTTAAACTGCATGGACTGATATTAAAAACTCACAATCGATTTTTACATTTTTGTATTGATGGTTCAGTAGATATTACTGGATATATTTTCCATTTTAAGAATGGAACGGCAACATGCATTCACACCTCATTCTAGAATTTTTTGGATTGTTTGTTTACATGCTGCGTCACACACTCACAGCAGGTATTTGGTTCACTGTTTTGTTTTTGAAAAAAAAAAAAATGCGCGCAGTCTGATTACAAAGTGAAACGGGTGCGGATGAAACATTATAATCACTTTAAAAGCTATTGGAATTGAAATCTTGAGGCAATCATAACCCCTAAGACTGTTTTTAATCAAATAGATAAATCATTTAGAATCCGTTCATACAGGAAAAGTAGGTTCATGAAAAATAATTATTTGCACTGGCTATAAATATGGTGAAATTTCCCTTTGTTCCACTAGACGGTGCTCTGAATAATTATTTTCTGGTTTCGCAATCTCCAAAATAACTTTTGTACGATGGATAAATGTATATGCTTGGGACAGTTTTTATAATTCTGGCAACCTGATTGCATTAATAATGCTACAAACAATGTAAAAACCATCGACAGGTATATATAAATAATTGATAGTTGATGATAAAATGTTTGTGATAAAAGCGAATGATTTACTTAAATCTTGCTATCGTCAATGCCGGTAAGAACAAAAAAATGCAAACTTCTATGTGATGGTAAGTTGCCGCTCCAGTTTATGTTGAAAGGATTGGAACGGATGAAATATGTTTTATTTATCAGCCCTGGGGGGTTTATTCTTAGGAGATTTAATATGATAGAATGTACTGTTTCAGTTTTCAACCGCCATTTTGAATTGAGTTATACAGAAATTTTAGGCAAACTTATAAGGTTAAAATTGTCGTTCAATTATTCCAATTGTCTGACACAACGACCATGTTTGTTTTTCTTCAATAGCAAATTCATCATATCTAGTTCGTATAATTGAAACTCATAGTCGAGATGCAAAAATTGTTGTCATCTTTCTCATTCACAGTTTCTCTCGCTGGAGCTTTATTGTAACGACTTTTGTACTATTCGATAAATTATATAAATCTATCTCGTATATCAGAGACTAGACAAAGAAATTTCTGGATAACTCATTTCCCTTCTGCTATCACCAAATTGTGTTCTTATTATTTCTTCATTCACTTCTTGTCTAGTAATACCGATGGGATAATCACTTGTTCTTGCTTGCAACATACAATCTCTTCTATATATGTTTCCTCGAACACATGTCATAAATTTTATGTTTTAAATTCCATCCATAATATTTCCTGTATTTCTTCAAAAATTAAAAATCATGATTGGCAGCAAAAAACTTTTCACAGTAATTGAAATTATTTCTTCAGTTCACTCAGCGAAAATTGTTCATTTTTCCTCATACTCATGAAGGGACAATCAATAAAAACCTCTTTATATATTCCATTGTATATTATGTTGAAACTCATCTTTTCAACTAGCGTCATGATTGGTTTGCAGGGAACAAATCCTGTTGTGCATAGAAAGCGAGAGTAGTTTTCAATTGCGTTGATAAATAATCTGAAATTTGAAGAAACAACTTTTATTCAAAAAATTGGTAAATGCATTTCAAAAAAGTTCTGAAATATAAGTAAAATGCTGATACATGTTATTTGCACATAATAAACATAACTTGAATGTAGTATATTCCACGGTGACAACTATGAACACAATTTCAGCAAAAGTAAGAGTCAGAACAAAAAAATGGAAAGCATGTTTAATAACATAATGTTGAACTTCTATGAAACACGCATACATTCAACTAAATATTGACAATAGCTGTGCATTTTTGTAGTTAATATTTAAAATTAAATTCGTATTTTAAATTATGTAAATTCAATTTACTTTAACATATTTTATGTATATGAATAAAAGCGTCTTGATACCGAATAGAGTTTAAAAACAATTCCTATGTTTAGATATTCTAAGTAGATATTAAATTTCTACAAATTATTAGAGCAGCAGTTTCAATCGCGGTTCTGCGGAACCTTATATTACATGTATATTCTTTAAATATAATCAAATATCCATTAGATTTACCATTATCATCAAATTTGCTATACTTCAAAGATTCTATTATTTGGCCAGTATAAGGTTCAAGCTATACAACCTAATTAATAAAGAACAAATAAATCATTGCACGGGGTTTTCTCGATCCTCTGAAATGTTTTATTGGCGTTCAAGACTACTGTATGGTGGCCCATCGTTGTCACGCGTAAAATTGAAAATAAAAATAAAATAAAAACCGAAAATAAAAAAATAGTGAAAAAACATAAAAATAATTGAAAAAAAAATGATAAAAAAAATTAAAATTAAAAAAAAAAATTTAAAATAAAAACGAAAAAAAAGAACGGAAAAAAAAAATTAAAAAAAAAAAAAATTGAAAAAAAAAAAAAAAATTGAATAAAAAGAAAATAAAAAGGTTACTCACTATATTCTACTAGGATCGAGGTATGGATTGAAATAAAAGGTTGAGCACGGGCGATTTATCATTTGTCTGGGTCGGTACGTTACGGCTCTACGGTATGGGGCAGGCGCAGAGAGTGTTTCAGTAGTCTATATTCTACGAGATTATCCGTATCTCCCATTCTTTCATGAGTGATTGCATGGGTACCGGTACGGTCAGAGACAACTGAGCAGTTAAGCAGCATTTTCCAATTAAATTACCTTCTACACGTAAAAACAAATTTTCGTATTCAATTCTATATTCTCTTATCATTATTATAGATATATTGCTTGTGGTTGAACTTGTAGCATGGAGAATTTATAGAACATATTCATGTTGAATTTATTGAATATTGCTCATGAAAATCAGTAGTTGAGTTAGAAACCCAGGAAACACATTTGTGCGCGTAGGATTATGCCTGACAACGTTGGTCCCAAGCAGAAGCAAATTTTCTAAAAATAAAAACGCGTGACAACGATGGGCCACGAGGCGGACCATCGTTGTCAACCTTTTTATTTTCTTCTTATCCAATTTTTTTTTTTAATTTTTTTTTTTTCGTTTTTTTTTTCCGTTTTTATTTTTAATTTTTTTTTTTAATTTTAATTTTTTTTTCATTTCTTTTTTTTCAATTATTTTCTTCTTTTTTTAAATTTTACGCGTGACAACGATGGGCCACCATACTACTGTATTAAAGGATCGCTTTTCTGTTCGCATACACTTTATAGTACAATACAAAATCATTAATATAATTCACCGTACACTTAGATATTAATAAATTTTTACATGATATCTTTCATTTTATTCAAAATATCGTTAATATATGTAAAAAGATTCATTTTATGACTTTATATACTTGAATAAAATTTTACAGATTTAACACCAATCACTAAATATTGTGTCAATGTCACACCAACATTTAATTAGTTTAAGGGGGTCGACCTTTGTGTAATTCCAATATTTATGTTTAAAGTTGTTACTATTACTTTCATTTACTATAACTGGTATTTAATTTAGGAATATAAATATGGGTATAGTATAAATTATTTCAACCTAATAAGAACAATGAATGCAAAAGTTAGTATAGTTATTACAGCTCGTTCCTATTTTTATCTTGTGAAATACACACAAAGCAATCTTTGAATTCAAATAATTAATATAAAGAGCTTAAAGTTGAGGCAAACGCTAATGAACATTATCGAACTTGAATCAACTGAACCTCAACTGAAATATACATTAAATGCATATGAAATGAATTGCTTGCTTCATTGCTTTTCAAGGTAAATTAAATTCAATTAGTTATTTACATAATAACAACTTTGGGACTGGATATATACCTTTTTCTTATTTTGTCGCTTTGATAACATGGACTTGAATTTTCTTTCTTTTCAATTAGATAATGAACCACTCATGGTTATGGAAGATACATAACTATTATTCCAATAAGAGAGATCCCACTAGCTCCTTAACTGACCCGTATCAAATAGTTCCGGGGTCAGATCCGTAGAAATAACGAAAGAGTGCAGCCGATCATCAGCAATCGTCCATTTTGTATCTTGACGCGATGTGAGATAGATCATATGAACGAAGCAGTGATTGCCCGACTCCTTGTACCTCCAATGTGCATTTCGTGTCTAAGATTTTGCGATCATAAGTGCAGCAAATAGGATTGTGGTAGAATAGATAGACAGAACTAGGCTTGCTTAAAACAGCTTAGAATAGGAAATTTCCGAAATTCTAGATCTGAAAGAGAGAAAAAAACATCTTATCGCAATTGTAAACATCTTTCTCATATATATATATATATATAATATATATATATATATATATATATATATATATATATATATACACATACGCATAATTGGGCGCTCCAGAAGTGTGTGTACCAATATGGAGGTAACTAATATTGTTCGCCTACTTTACACCAAGCTGTGTAAAGGGACTGAAACCTATGTGCCTATATTCACTTGGCTAACACGGATAGTCCCCGAACTCGTAATATAAGGGAAATCGGAATAAAATTATGGCCTAACCCTAACCTGGTACACATACTACAGGAGCACCTATAATTGTGCAGATTTGAGCGCTTGTAGACATAGCTATGTTAAATGATGAGCTTCAAAACATTCTAGATGATCTATGCGAGGTTACTATTTCGTTCTGCAAAGCGTATCGACTCATTAATAGTCTATTGCAAGGTGATCCAACGTTGCGAGGTTGGCGGCTAAAAAAACTGGATCAAGCGGCGCTAAGTCAGCTTTGCGGTTTGCCGCTGCTGTCACATGACCAACGTTTGAAAATAGAGGAAGGGGGACGTAGTTTAGATAAAAAGCGCGACTCATCTCATCGGCTTGGTCCGGTCAGCATAGGATAATTTATTTTACTTGTAAAAGGGCTATTCCCAGTCGGAATAGTTCAAAAATAACTCAGAAATGTTCTGCCAAAAAATACAAACATCTGCTAAGAGTGTTTTAGTACACGCTAAAATTGTTCTGCCGTCTGTGGGCCGCACGGAATGTATCCACAGGCGGCCCGCGATTTGGACCACCCTGGTCTATCGAATGAATATTTGACGGTGCAACTGGTACGGTTGCTTTCTTCATTCCGGGCGCGCGATGTTGAATATTCATAGATTGAACTCACGGATCGGTAGAGATCATTATTGTTGAATCAAGCAAAAACGTACGGGTTTTTTAAAGGTCCGCCAGGTTTACACATGGAAGTATATCCAATCAAAAAATGTATAGTTTCTGAATTTTTCAGCGCATAAACTTAAAGTTTAATTGCTCGACTCGATTCCACATGTTAACAAAAACTCAGCCGGGAATATACGAGTCCTACTTTCAAGACTACAATAGACAGATTAGAGAATTGTATTCCCGTTGTATAATGGCATTTTGCTACATCATCGGTTCAGCATTTCAAAGTGAATTTGGACTACATTTCAAATCAGATACTTCTATGATAGTATGAGTATAAATTGCGGTTTAGTAAGTGAGCGGTATGCTGGTACAACTGGACACATTTGAAATAGAATGAGGTTTCATATAAATACAGACAAAGATATAAACTGAAAATTCAAATTTCGAAAATGAATTTGACTTTAAGTTTCATAATTTTTCAAAGTACAAAATCACGATTAAAATAATGTTATCTTATAAGCATTGTGTGCTGTTAATTTGGCCAATCAACATTTGTTAATAAGGGCCTAAAAGCTGCTTTCCACAGATGTCAGTTTAGGAATATTGTAGATAAAATAAAATAGTTTAGGAAAGCAGCGTATGACGTAGAATTAGCTCGGGGTCGATGAAAGTGCAGCCCCACCGAAGCCTATGAGGCTGTTGTAGCCTAACTCTGGGACTGACTGTGACTGTGGCCTATATATTATCATTTACACTAGACGCCTCCTGCACAACGTATTTGGTGAGCTTGTTACTGAACACAAATTCGCTGTTATGGAAAATTTGCATATAATTACGCGACATACTTTTGTAGTGCTTATAGGCGTGTGTCATTTTTATAATATAATACTGACATTCATATAAATACCAGCAGAAATTCAGGCGAGCAGCCGGGATTTTCCAAAGGGGCGATCAAAATCGGAAATTCCATTTCCCGTCTGAAACAGTCGCCGCGATCGTTAAAAGAGTCGCCTTTTTCAGCGTATAATGATTTTTCTGTTGTGCAAAGTAATCAATTCATGACCGATACGGGCATATTCAAAATGTCTTGCTTTATTAATTTAACTGTCTTCAATTTAATCTGCGGTTGCGTCGACAAAATAAAAGCATCAACACTCCGAAATACCATGTCAATCCGCGTGCTATTTTGCGAATTCGGCAAATCTGAGTTGTACTTGCAACACTAACTCCGCTCAATCGTAATGCTGCCATTCAGAATATTTTTAAGATAAATATATATACAAATATTAGAAAATCCGAGGCGTGTACTGTAGCTACAAAATATTTGTCTGTTTGAGGTGTGTATTGTTAGCATTGTACCAGGAGCGATGGACGGTGATACGTGGACTTATTGTGATCTACATGAAATGAAGTGCGCCTAACAAAGCAGTTACATTGTAAATTTACTGTGGATTTAATACTGATAAACTTCGGTGAGGTGAAACACAACATTTGTAAAAAAAATTATCTAATCTCATTTTGAGCGTTATTGTTAAAAATAACTGCCTTTTTTCATTCTATCTCGGATCAGTGTCCTAAAGGCACGTCATATCAGTATAACGCGTCATAAGCATTCCACTGCGTAAGCAGCAGTCATACACGTATGGAGGCTTCCGTACCCGCCATGTATTACACGGCAAAAACTTCCAACACCGAGCTTCCGTACATACTATGTGCCAAAGAGCATAACGTCCGCCCAGGGCCTCCGTCAATGCCACGCCAATGCCAATGCCATAAGAATTTCCGTTTTTTCTTCATTTATACTTTGACCGGCTGCTTGTTTAAATTTATGTAGTTCCATCTGGAATATCTCCCTGATGGATATTAGGTCTTTCACAGCAAATGCCATATCGTCCGCGTATTGATCCATTTTAAATTCGTATCAACCAAGTTTTATTCCGCGTGCCCTTTCGCACACTTTTTTTTACGTCTGCTCTGAGCATAAAACTGCGACGTGTCGATGTGCGCGAACGCCTAACGGCGTATTATAAAGTAAACACAATAATATTAGATTCACTATTTCTGATTTTTGACTGGCTCATTAAAATGAAAATGACTGAATGTGTCTTGTGGACACTGCAGTAACTTGGAAAGAAAGCAATTCCCAAATATATTCTCAATTTTCAAATGGACAGAAAGTTCAAATGAATATATGTTATACTAGTAGCCTATATACGCCGAAATCCGTATCTAACCTTTCAAAAGGGCAGATCAAGAATCATCGCATTGGCATTTATCATCGGTATCGCTGAGCTGTGAACTATAACAAAGTTTCGTGCAATTATTGAGCTCCAAATACATAGACTCCACTTAAACAAAAACCAGAAATAGCTTTCTACCGCGCATAGCACAACTCAACTTCCGCCAACCGGCTTCTGTACACACTGTGTGAAGACGCGTAACGCGCACATTTTTTTTTTATCTTTTTGCGGATCAGAGTTTTTCCAAAATATCGGATCAGTGTCTTAAAAACACGTAATATCCGAGTCATATCGGTATAACGCTTCATAAGCATGCCACTGCGTGAGCAGAAGTCATACACTTATGGAGGCTTCGGTATTCGCTGTGCCACCGCAAGATACAAACTTCCACCCCGGGGTCGGTATAAGCTGTATGTCACAGCATAACTTTCGCCCAGGGCTTCAGTCCATGCCATGCAAGGCACAGCGCAACTTCCGCCACCCCGGCTTCCGTACATACTGTGTGATGTGTAATACGCACCCAGCATGACATTCACCGTGAAGCTTCCGATCCATCATTGCCGTGCGGGTTTGAGGGTCGTATAGGCTCGTTTATGCTCCCTTTTATGGGGACTAAAAGTAAGGCATCATTTTCATAATAAATGGGGTGTTCCTATTAGGTAATAGCATATCTGTTTGAAATTTGTTTCCAGTCCGCCACTAATCTGAATATTTGGAGGTTTTTGAATTTATTTTCTAGCGCGGTAAGGAATTCAATCAGGTTTTTCAATGTAAATATAAAAGTATTGCCATCGCTATTCTCCAGATATACCTCAATGTCAAGCTTGATTTTTGTTTTCATTATAATGCCCTTCATGATGGTGAATCCTTTGATAACCAGGAGTTGTTGTGGACCGGTAATTTCCTTTCTTGTTATCATAAATCTATTACTGCATATTCCGTTGAGAGCGTCAGCTATTTCCATGATGTAAGATACAATTTTGCCACAGTGTAGGAACAGGTGCTTAGCATTGTCAAATGGTTGTCTGCAAAATTTGCAGTTTAAGATCTTTTAACCATGTTTCTCTTTTTGTCACCAAAAAAATATCCTTCCTGGCTAATTCTATAGGAGGTCGCTCTTCCAGAATTAGGAAAATTGTTTTGGAGTCATTTCGCCCGCAAATGAATTTCATCCCAATTATAGTCTTGATGTTGATCGGTAAGGTTCTTTTTCAATTCTGCGTATATATCTTTGTGATGTGCTGTTTCCCATTTATCTCGGGAGAATTTAATTGCCTTGAATATGTCCATAATATGAGCCAATGTTTTGGGGTGATGTTGCTATGGGGCATTGAGTTACTATACAGATTTTTGTTCCTAGCGAGTATAGAGACTCGAAAAGCCAAAATTGGGTTGGGTTGTTACCGAGTACGAAATGCCTCATAATCTCCACTTTACAGGTTTTTATTTTCGCGTTTGGATCAAGCATGTCCATGCCAGTTCTTTTGCAACGCCCGTCTGCTAATGGCATCAATTTTGTCCGGATACAATATGAATTTGAACAGTAGGCTTTCAATCGTTTTTGATGAGATGGGTTTACGCGAATGGTATGTTACTATTGACATTATAAGGAAGTTTACGATGGAGTGTTTTCCGTACCAGGTTAGGCGTCTGGGTTTTATCGAGTTTAGTGTTCTGGTTATTAGGCTTAAAATTTCTTCCCACATTTTGTCCAAAGGTTTATTTTGGAGATTTGAAGATTGATTTATGAGCGTTTTCGGTTATACATAGAATTTCCGTTGTTTTTTTCATTAATACTTTGACCGGCTGCCTGTTTAAATTTATGTAGTTCCTTCTGGAATATCT